CAGGTGAGGGTAAGAGCAGGGGAACCTGGCCCCACAGAAGGTGGAGACCCTATGGACAGCCCTTTCCTGAGCCTGCCGCAAGGCCAGCCGGGCAGGCTGGGTGCTAGCGGAGGGACGAGTCTCCTGGCACGCTTCCTGCCCCTGGGGGTGCCTCTCAGCCCAGAATAGCCTGCTGTGCTTGATACCTGACCTCTTGCTCTCCATTTATAACCTAGCCAGCCTGCCTGCCTGCTCCCTTCTTGAGTATCTGCCCTGGCTGCCCACCCAACAGGCTGCTGGAGCCAGAAATAGAGCTGGTCTGGGGGCCGGGCTGGGTGGTGGGCATCCTGCCATGGCCACATGGAGCCAGCAGGTACAAGGTGAGGGCAAGAACCTTTCCCAGGCCAGGGCATGCACAACCATCCCAGCAGCACAGTGATACTGGGAGGCAGTTGCTTAGCTCTGCAGTGTGTGTCTCCCGAGTCACGTGCGATTCCAGTAACACCCTGAACCCCTGGCTCCTGCCTGGGGCTTCATTTGTCCCGTGACAGAGGACTGCACACTGCCCTCCCACCACAGCCAGGAAGATAGGTTGTTGGCAAGCTGATGGAGAAGGAGGGGGACAGGGCTGTCCTGGTTGCCGTCTGGCTGGGAACGGGTAGTGCTGTCACAGTCCTGGCCCCATGACTTTGACAGAAGCTCGGAGTGCAAAGGACATCCCACCTGCCCGCTCCCTTCTCACCGCCCACAGCCAGCTAAGCTGCGGCAGCTAGGGTTACAGCAGTCCTCCCGCAGAGCCAAGGCACCACGCCGGGAAGGCTGCAGACCCACAGGACTGCTCCTGCCCCAGGGACTTTGCCCGTCCCAGCCGGATAGCATGGCTGGGCTCTGAGCAGCGGGCTGAGACCCGCAGGGCACACGCACGGCTACGTGCAGTGACGCAGGATGTGGGCTTTCCTGGCCCAGTTGCTGATCGCCCTGGTGCTGCTGGCCTTCTTCCTGGTCAGCTGCCAGAACGTCATGCACATTGTCAGGGGCTCGATCCGCTTCCTACTCAAACACACCCACCGTGAGCTGGACAAGGAGCTTGGGGAGAGCCAGGGGCTGGCGGACGACGAGGAGGCTCTTTCCACCAGGGTCGTCCGCCGGCGCGTCCTTGTGAAGGTAATGAGTAGGGAGCTGAGAGAGCATACCTGAGGCAGATGCAGAAGAGAGCAGTGAAGGGGCAGGGTGGAAGACGAAGGCTGTGGGGTGCATGTCAGGTGTAGTATTCTGCCTGCAAAGGGGTTCCCCTCACCCCTCCCTGAAATGCCCTGATGTCCCTCCTGTCACTACAGGGGAACGAAGTCCTTCATCTCCCTGGAGAGCAGGTGACTGAGGAGCAGTTCACAGATGATCAAGGCAATATTATCACCAAGAAGGTGAGTGATAAGGGGCATGGTGTGGGCAAGGGCATGTCGCAGCCTTTCTACTCTCTCCTCTCCCCTCTCCCCAGCTGCCCTGTTCCTCTCTGCAGTCCAGGGGCCCATGCAGGGCACCCACATCCCACCGTCTTCGGTTACGGTCACAGCACTTCTCCAGCCAAACCCTGTGCATGGGACAGAGGCTAAATGCCATGGCCAGTTCAGGGCCAGACTGGGCAAGGAGGGAGGTGTGGTGCCCTGGGACTAGCTGTGATGCCCAGCTTTATGGGTCTCCACAGGTCATCCGGAAGGTGGTACGTCAACTGGGTCCTGGTGACACAGGTAACAGGCAGGAGCAGGAGGAACGGATTCTGGAGGGCTCCCTGCAGGAGCCCCAAGACCTGGAGACTGAGGATGATCACTTCGTGAAATACTCCATCCTGCACCAGGATGGTCTGGGGGCCAAGGTACAGTGTGGCTCATAGCCTTGCCTTGCAGCCATCCTGCCGGGGGCCAGCACCGCCTTTGCAGGCTCAGGGGCTCTGCCACCCTCTGTCCTTTCTTCTGCGTTGCTTTCCTCTCCTCTTTCGCCTCTAAGGCTTCCAGAGGCAGCTCTTACCCACTGCACCACTCTTCTTGCTCAGTGTCTTCTGCCAACTGACTCTGCCTTTCCCTCTCCTGTCCTCTTCTGTATGTCTGTCTGTACACCTGGGTGATGTCCTGCTCCCTGCCCCTGCGGCTGCCTCAGGAGGAGGTGCGAGTGCGTGTCCCGAAACCGGAGATCTCCGGGAGCAGGATGGGGGCTCAGATAGTGAAACGAGCCAGCCTGAAAAGGGGGAAGCAGTGACCCGTCAAATGGCCTCTTTTGAGGTAAACCCACCTTTGCTCTTACTTCTACCCCAGTTCCCCGTGCTGCTGCCTGCACTGAGCTGCTGGTCATGCCCATTCTTCTGGGAAAAGTGTAATGGGGCTGTGCCAAGCTTTCAGCCTGCAGAGAGGGGTTTCTGTGCTGCAGCAAAATGCTGAGGGTGGGCAGCGGTGTGTCCCTGCTGCTAACCCGCTCCTGGGCCCAGGACCAGGGTGCAATGGGCATGGGGTGCTCCGCTTTGCAGCGATCCTCCAGCCAGCTGCTGGCACTGGCTCAGCCTCTATGCTCAGCACTCCGCTGTGGCCACAGCACCAGGGGCTGCTACTGCAGTCACAGTATCCTGGGTGCGTGGGGTAATGGTCCCTAGTGACAGGGCCATGGGGTTGTTACTCCTTGTTATGCTGGGCTACAGCAGAGGGATGAGCTTTTTGTCCAAAACCGCTCCAGGGAGTGGATAGCAGTTGCGTGGGGGTCTGAGCCAAGTTGTCCCCTTCATGCATGAGCACTAACTGTGCAGATTTGTGGCAGACGAGACCAACCTTTGGAGTCTGGTGCCCCTGCATCCCCTTCCCCCGGGGTGCAGCCAGGCCCTGGCAGAGCGGTGAGCCAGATGAGGGTTGTCACGGTTCTGCTGGGCCATGGCCTGCTGCTTCTGCTTGCAGCACTTCTGCTGGGAGATACGCGTGGGTGCCACTGCCAGCCACGCATCGTGGCATGAGAGGATGGCACTGAGGTCTGCTGGAGCTCCTGTGGCCAGGAAAGTGGGGGCAGGGTATGGTAGGATGCTGCTGGTGGACATCAGGGAAGTAGGGATTCAGGAGTGGCAGGGTGCAGGAACATGATGCTTGTAGATGCTGAGGGTAGGGGACCTGTCTTCCATTTCTTCCATTCATCCCCAACGTGAGCACTGGATCATTCCTTGAGTCTTGTGCATTCCCTGCTCCCCATGCCTTCCCAGTTGGGTGGGCCTAGACCAGGCTCAAGGTGGGGTGCTTGGCACAGAATGCTTGGACCCAACTGCATCACCGTTCTTGCTGCAGGGGCTGGCAGTGCAGCCCTTGGGGGAAGGTGCTACATGTATTGTCCCCAGAGCCAGGGAGGAGGCTGCCAGGCAGGGGTGGTTGGTCCTCTTGGCCTCTGGTCTACATGCATGGCTGTGTCTGTCCTCCCTCTCCCTCCTCTCTCCACTGTGTTTTGGGCTCTTTTTGGGTGCATGACAGTCAAGAGGCTTGTGCTTGTGGACACATGTTCATGCAGACCGTGGGCCCACACCTGACTGCCTGCCCCACTCCTCAGACAGTCCCTGGGTCTGCCTCTCTCTGGGGTAGTGCTCCTGCTGCTTTGCTCTTGCTGTTTTCCGTAGGGTGTGAAAGTGGCCCAGGGTGTGCATTAGGAACGGATGGGGTCTTCCCTGCTGGTCACTGCAGTTAAGGCTGAGGGTTCAGGGCTGGCCTCCTCTATCCCACAGCAGCCCTCCCAGCGCCTTCCCAGTGCCACATTGCCTTTGGTGCAGCCACAGTGCAGCTCAGCTCCCACTTGTTGATGTTCTCTGCAGCTAGGACAGCACTACCAACATCATCTGTGCCATTGCTGCTGGTTCCAGGCTGGGCATTTCTTGATGCTCTGTCGCTGCCTCTCTGACGTCCCCCAAAACTTGTCTTGTGGCAGCTGGGCAGGATGGGTGCACGTGGGACAAGCACAGGGTGCAGAAGCGGCTGGGGCTGCCACGTACCTGGCTGCCCTCACCCTTTCTCCTGGCTGTGCCACCATGAATATCTGGTAACCCCATCTCTGTGTGTCTCTCTCTGTCTCTCCAGGATCTCACCTCAACACCAAACCACTGAACTCCACACATGTTCTGACACATACCTGAGA